TGGGGAATTTTTGGGATTTTTGGGAATTTTGGGGGGAATTTTTGGGAATTTTGGGGGGAATTTTTGGGAATTTTGGGGGAAATTTTGGGGGAAATTTGGGGAATTTGGGGGGAATTTTTTGGGATTTTTGGGGAATTTTTGGGGAATTTTTGGGGAAATTTTTGGAGAATTTTGGGGGAATTTGGGGGAATTTTTGGGGAATTTTGGGGGAATTTTTGGAAATTTTTTGAGAATTTTTGGGGATTTTGGGGGAATTTTTGGGAATTTTGGGGATTTTTTTGGGAATTTTTGGGAATTTTGGGGGAATTTTGGGGAAATTTTGGGGGGAATTTTTGGGGGATTTTTTGGGGAATTTTGGGTTTTTTGGGGATTTTTGGGGGGAATTTTTGGGGAATTTTTGGGGAATTTTGGGGATTTTTGGGAATTCCGGGATTGGGATTTTTGGGAATTCTGGGAATTTTGGGAATTTTTGGAATTTTGGGAATTCTGGGGTTGGGAATTTTTGGGGAATTTTTTGGGAATTTTTGGGGAATTTTTTGGGATTTTTGGGGAATTTTGGGGGATTTTTGGGGAATTTTGGGGGAATTTGGGGGATTTTTTGGGATTTGTGGGGATTTTTTGGGAATTTTTGGGGATTTTTTGGGAATTTTTGGGGAATTTTGGGGATTTTTGGGGATTTTTGGGGAATTTTTGTGGAATTTTTGGGGAATTTTTGGGAATTTTGGGAATTTTGGGGGGAATTTTTGGGAATTTTGGGGGGAATTTTTGGGGAATTTTTGGGGATTTTTTTGGGGATTTTGGGGAATTCCAGGATTGGGAATGTTGGGAATTTTTGGGGAATTTTGGGGAATTTTTGGGGATTTTTTGGGGATTTTTTTGGAATTTTTGGGGAATTTTTTGGGGATTTTTTGGGATTTTTGGGAATTCCGGGAATTTTGGGAATCCCGGGAATGCCGTCTCTCACCGAAGCTGTCGCGGCTGCGTTTGGCGCAGGTGAAGCAGAGCCGCGCCCGCGCCAGGTGAGCCCGAGGCTCCTCCCCCTCCTCGGGACACTCGGAAACCACGGCCGGAATCACCTGGGGCTCGAAGGTGAGCGAGAGACGCACCTGGAGCAGGGGCGGGGACCTGGGAGGGGTTGGGGACACACCTGAGCACACCTGGACACACCTGGGGACACCTGGGGACACCTGGGGTCACACCTGAGCACACCTGGACACACCTGGGGACACCTGGGGACACCTGGGGACACACCTGGAATCACCTG